TCAAGATCGTAGATTAAGATTGATGATCAAGATCACAGTCAAAGAGATCAAAAAGACTGAGATCAAAAGACAATGTTAAGCTAAAAAAAGTCGAGAGTGGAGACAGCAAGCATATATCGAGACCGAACTGAGATCGAGACGGAGATTGAGACCGAGACCGAGATCAAGATCAAGGTCAAATAGATTAAGATCAAGATTAATATCAAACAGAGCAAGATCAAGATCGATACATACAAATAAATTTTAAAAACATGGTACGTTGGAAACTAAAATGTCGCTTTCCTATTTTGATCTTTAGCAACTTTATAAGAAAATTAATTTTTGAACTGCCGAGCTGATGATAATTTTTTTCATGGAAATAGTAAAACCTGACAATATTATTCTTCCACAGCTTCTGAAGACAAAGATGCTGGTTTCTCATTTTCTTTATCGAGAGTTTAGTAAGAAAGTTCATTCGTGAAACTACCAAACCGATAATTAATCAATGAAGTAATTTTTGTTTCGTGAAACTGGTAAAACCTGATAATAATATTAGTCTTGGACAGCTTATAGAAAACTGAAATTTCGGTTTCCCATATTCATCGTTCCATCGTCTTTTTGAGTTTACCAGAAAGTGAATTTTTGAACTACCGAACCGGTGATGGTAATTTTCTTTCGTGAAAATGCTAAAACCTGAGAATATTAATCTAGGAGACAAAAATGCTGGTTTCTCATTTACCCTTGCAAATTGGTCTGAGGTTATTTAGAAATTAGGTACAGTCCAACTTCATTTAAAAATGATAAAATTTGATTTTGTCAAATTGTATTTACTTATTTTATAATAAACCGTATATGTTAAAGAATAGTTGCGGTGGAATTTCTATTATAGCTCTAATTATAACTTTGATTTTTCTTGCAAAGATTTGGATACCAAGGGTAAACAATCAAGGCGGATTCATAGACCACACGTACAGGATTATGTTAGTGTATAAAATATAAGTAACATTCACAATGCAAAATTTTTAAGTGACGTCATCAAATTGTTTGTGGGGATGATCAGAAAAATTTTGTTAAGCGTTTTACCAAATTTACAGTCGCCTGGCTTTGACATTATCATTTTTATTCTTTTTTAATAAAGAATTTTACATTGTAGCCCTAAGCAAGTTGTGTCGCCGCATATCGAGTTTTTTTTTTCATAATTTAAGGGGAATACGTGAATGAACTCTAATCCATATATTGAACTAAGTATTATTGACGGGTTTAAATTACGCAGTATCCTAACAACCTCCACTATACTTAGCTCATCTAAATATTAGTTCTTGTGAAATATTTAATTTTTCTCCTACGAATTTATAATTCGAAATGTAACTTCGCGAAATGAAATTAAGCCTGGAAAAATAACTGCGAAGCGAATAGAAACAAGACAAATAAAAAGAATGTAAATTTATCCGAACGAACCAAGCCATAAATTATTAAAAAAGACGAATGAAAAAAATATATTAACCATGTAAACGTTCATAAGCGAAAAGAAGCTGTCAGAATACTTGAAAAGGCCTCCGAAGCTGATATGGAAAGAAAACTTCAAAGCGGCGGAAAAACGTCATGAAATAGTAAATACTCCGCCGGCTCCGCCATCGCAGGACACTTATAAAACAATAAATTAGAGTAATTGCGCCAACATAAAATAATAAAACTCTCTGCATGCACGTAGATATTTCAGAGGATATCTTAATTACGATTTCAGCGCGTTCTCCGTAGTCGTCCTATTTATAGGCAGACATACGGCGGAAAATTCGATTTCAATTATGCGAAGCAGCCCCCGTTGCCGCCTCCAGTATCAAATATTTAACACATACAAAAATGATATTTCGCACGTGATCGTCGCTCGTCGCCGCTTATTTATTATTCTTTATCAGCGTGCCGTTTAATAGCGGAGCTGAAAATTAACCGAAAGATGATAAATTGATAAAATTTCGTCAACCGTAAAGCTTCCAGATGGCACGTAAACGCCACAATTTCAGTTTGAGCGGTGACATTTGAGAAATCAGATTTTTCAGCCGGCTTCAGACACAGAAATAGATGCCGGTGCAACGTGCGTGGTTAAGAGAATTAATTTATTTGATGCCTGGCTAGAACTAATTAGACTGGGATGAGAACGGCATAAATCCACCCGCGTTTATCACAGTCAAAGTGATTACCGGCTAAAAGCATCGTAATGTATTCCTGTCGATGGCAAGTACGCTGTACGGCTTTTGGGTTAAATGAAACTTTTTTATAACGATGGTAAACAGGAGTGTGGCAGGTGAAGAACGACTGTCAAAGGGACGATTTATGGGAAACGGGTGTGTCACCAGTGGCGACGACGGATTCAAGTTTTCGGGAGTTCACCTGGAGTTCATGAACCCAAGTTTTTAAACGCCATTGCAGTTTCGGTTCAGATTCTTTCAAATCATATTTTCTTTCATTCAATGCTTCGGCACATAATAAATTGATTCAAAAGAGTTTCAGGTTTAATAATTGATGGATCCAATATCTTTAAGTACTAATCATTTTTAATTGATTATTAAAATAGTAAGTACTATCTTCCGACACTTGCAAAATTTTGTAAATGTTACCGACTGCGCCACTTTAGCGATCCAATATATCGAATACAATATAATAATTGTATTTTCTTTCTTTGAAGATATTTTAGTACTTAATGGTTAATTTGAGAATTTCTTAATGACAAGACAACAAGCACTCTAGGCGTGGCTTTGGTAGATTCTAGTGCTTGCACTTTGATTTGTATTATGTAGAGAGAAACTTAGTTATCTAAGGACCTTAGGCCATGCACCTAACTGCAACATAGGCTCCAAGTTTCACAAACTTGGAGAGGATCTCCGAGGAAATGTTGGACATATTCTGCATAACAAGTAGACACTTGTTGTTAAGTTGAAAATTTATTTCTTTAAGAGAAAGTTTGATTTAATATTCTTCTATATGAAAAATCTTTTATCACAGTAGTTAATACTTCACAAAATTTTCTTTAACTAGTTAAACTAATCACGTTAAAATTTTGCATGCCTGCGATTACAAACGAATTTTCGAATTCTCGAATTAAAATAGTTCAGACTGCTCTTTAAAGCACAACCGAACCTTTTCAATTTAATAAAAAATTCGATAACCTACGCGTTTTCCAAACGCGGAGTCCCGCATAATTGAGTTATTCAAACCATTATACAAGTTAAAGTTAGTTAAAACTCGTTAATGCTGAAATTTAACTAAAGTCGATTATAATTATGTGCACGAATTATGAAAGTCAATAACAGTTCGGCCGCACTAATACAATAATTCCCTAACTAATTCATTCAACATTTTTACTTTTTCGGGTGTCAAAAACCCCATAACGTTAAAAGCCCGGTTTAAGACCCTTTTTCCCCGTGGTGAAAAATTTCGGCGCACATTTGCGGAGTCGCTGAAACCTAAAATCTCCACTAGTGTCACGCAGATAAACCGCTATCGCGTAAAAATGTATGTGACTACGAAGGTTGTACAATATAACGGCGGGTGGTGTCGGCGGCGGCGGCGGCGGCGTCGATCTAAATCGTCCAGGGTAAAAGTCCACATCATGGGCGGCTATAGAAGCGACAAAGAGGGACGCTCACCTTTCTTGTTTTTCATCCTTGGAGTGAGAATATTTGCGTAACAACTGCTCCAATTTCGGTTTTAAATTGATTTGAATTGAAAAATGAAAAAGTAATAAATTGAAATATTTGTTGCAATTAAATGGGCTATTTTTTTTAGTAATGAAATGGATTTCGGCTCCCGAGAGGCGCTGGCGGTAAACTGAATCCGTGGTTCTTCCAAGTGCAAGTTTTCTCATACGTTGTGGAGAAAATAGTGGGTGTATCTAAAATTGGTTTCTTATGAATTAAATCATTGGATTCTTTGTTTATTTCAATGAAATCGAAGTTCATTTCTTCATTGTTAACTGTAAATTTCTGCTTTTTTAGCAATACTCTGAATACTAATAAACCATCTGACACGTTTTGGTGGGTTTATAATTTACAAAGATTGAAACATTTCGCCAAAAAATACCAATTGCAACCATTGTTTATACAAAATGATTTTTTTGTGTTAGATATTCATTTGAAAACAATAGAAATTTAAAATTTTTTTGGTTTCTTGGAAGTTTAACAAGCAGCTAAATTACATATTCCTAAACAAAATACATATTCATATTTTCCAGATGATTTATTTTGAAAATTTTGTGGTTTATAAAATTTTAGAGCTAATTTTTAGTATCATAAAAAAAATTTTGGAACATCTGTTAAGTGATATAATCTTATTGTTTTTTGATTTTATGAAATCCATTGCAGCAGTTAGCAATTAATACATTTAATAAATAAAAATTCTTCAGGACACTTTAGAATAAAAACAGGAATTCGAAATAAACATTAAAAAATTTCAACAAAACTTCGTAGTAGGTGAACTGTTAATTTTTGTTATTTTATATGTCTTTGTTTCCAAGAATGGTATTTGGAAAGACAAGGAACAAAATAATTTTGACTTTGTCTCAAAATTCAAGTTGAAAAACGAAGTTAGATCATCTGAGTTCAACAAACTTTTAGAAAAATTCTGTTTAGATACAAGAGATAATTGAAGATTTATATTTCACCATAAAATTTCGGAGAAGAAAAAAGTTAGTTGATGTGAATTCAAAAAATGTTTAGACGATTCTTTTTCAGAAACGGAATCCAACAAAAATGTTTCGACTACAGGTAAATATTTGTAAATATTCCTCAAATATTCCACTGGAAGGGAAGGTCACACCGCTAAATTAAAAATTAAAATAGTGCTGAACAGGTTGGCTGTCAGGAAAAAGTGAAGATATTTTCATTTTTCTATAGCGATTTTGCAAAAGAATTTAATTTTAGAACCATGAAAATCTTGCATTTCAGTCCTAAATTAAACTTGGAAAAAGTCTGCTAAAGATAGTTGGAAATTCCAAAAGGGCTTTCTTTTGAAAATCTATCTCTATTCTATCTTTTCCCTTTCTTCTCTGTATCCCTCTTGGTTCTGCTCGTTCTCTTCTCTCTATTTCCTCTGTTCCTTCTGTTCTCTTTGTGGTTTCCATTGTCTCCCCTGTCTTTGTTATATCTGCTCTTACTGTTCACACTATTCTCTCCACTCTTTCTGCTTTCTCGTCTCCCTATGTTTTCTATGTCATTTCTGATCATTCTGATCTAAAAAACTACATTTGCAAAGAACTCTATTTTGAAAAAATTCGTTCATCTAGAACATTTTGTTCTTTCGGTTCTTTCTATTTTACCTTTCCTCTCTGTTCTCTGTCTTCGCTCTTCGTTCCACTCCTTTTCTTCTCTCTATTTCCTCTGTTTCTTCTGTTCCTTCTGTTGCTTCCACCCTCTGTTCTCTCTGCCAACTTCACTATGTCTGCTCTTAGTGCTCCTTGTATTCTCTCCGCTCTTTTTGCTCTCTCTTCTCGCTGTGTTTTCTCTGTTCCTTCTGACCCTTCTGATCTAAACAATGTACATTCGGAAAGGACTTCGTCTTGAAAAAAATCTGTTAATCAAAAAGCATTCCCATTGTTCTCTCCGTTTTCTCTATTCTACCTTTTCTATCTGTTCTCTGTACTTTTGCTGGTCCTCTGTTTGTTCTATTCCTTCTCACTCTTCCATTTTCTCTGTTTTCTCAATTCTCTTTATTTCTTGTTTTTCTCGTTCCTCTGTTTCCTCTGCTTTCTTTTCTATCTGTGTTTTCTCTGTTACATCTCGACCCTCTGATTTTTAAAACCACATTCCAAAAGGATTTTATTTTGAAAAAATTCGGTAATCTAGAACATTCTCCCTGTTCTCGCCGTTCAGTTTTTTCCCTCTCTTCTCTCTGCTATCTTTGCTATATCTGTTCTCATTGCTCTCCCTATTTTCTCCGCTCCTTATATTCCCTTTTCTCTGTGTCCACTCTAATATTTCTGATCCCTCTAATTTAGAAATCTGTATGCAAAAAGAGTTTATTTTAAAGAAATCGGTAATATAGGACACTCTGTTTTTCCACCCTATCTGTTTCGTGTTTTCTCTGTGTGGTTTATGTTCCGTCTAGTATCTCTGTTCGCGTGTTCCTTCTCTTCTCTCTATTCCCTTTGTTCCTTCTGTTCGTTCTGTTCCTTTTCTGTCCTCTGTTCTCTCTTCTCTCTCTGTTCTCTCTATCCCTCCTGTTCCCACTGATACTTTATTTTGAAAAAAAATCGGTAAATTAGAACACTCTGTTTTTCCGTTTTTCTGTTCTATGTTTTGTCTCTGTGGTCTGTGTTTCATCTGGTGGCTCTGTTCCTTGTGTTACTTCTCTCTATTCCCTCTCTTCGCTCTATTTTTTCTCTTTTTTACGTTCCTTCAATCTTTGCTATCACTGCGCTCCATATTCCCTTCGCTTTCTTTGTTCCCTCTTTTCCGTGTGATCCCTCTGTTACTCTGCTCCATCTGATCTAGAAAACTACATTCTAAAGAAACCTTATTTTGCAAAAAATCGGTATTCTAGAACATTCTCTCTGTTTTATCCGTTATCCCAGTTCTACTCGTATATTTTCTATATGTTCTCTGTGCTTTTTTTCGTTCTATTCTCTCTAATCTTTTTTTCTTCTCTTTATTCTCTCCGGTCTCCCTATTCCATTTGTTCCTTATGCTGTTCTCGTGCTTCTGTTCCCTCTGCTATCTCCGCTCTCCCTATTCTCTTCGCTCTCATTAGTCTTCCATCTCTCTGTTCCTTTTGCTCCCTCTGATTTACAAAACCACATTCGAAGAGTACTTTATTTTGAAAGAATTATGTTCTATCTTTTCTTTCTGTTCTTTGTGCTCTTTCTGATTTCTTGTCTTCTTCCTATTCGTTCTATACTCTCTATTCCCTCTGTTTTTTTGGCCCTTCTATTTCTTTTGCTCTCTCTTCTGTCGGTCTTCCCCCTGATTTAGAAAACTACATTCAAAGAAGACTTTATTTTGAAAAAAATCGGTGATCTAAAATCTGTGTTTCTTCTGATGCCTCTATTCGTTCTGTTCTATCTGTTCTCTTTATTCCTTCTCTTCGAACCATTTCTTATTTTTCTGTTTCTTCTGTTTTCTTTGCTATTTTTGCTATCTCTGGTCTCCCGGTTATCTCCGTTTTCTCCGCTCTGTCTTCTTCGTTGTTCCCTCTGCTAAGAAAACTGAATTTTATTTTGAAAAAATTCGGTAATCTACCTCATGTTCTTTGCGTTTTCTCTGTTCTATATTTTCCTTCTAATATCTGTGTTCCTTCTGGTCTCTTTGTTTGTTCTCTTCATTATCTTCTCCCTATTTCCTTTGTTCTTTCTGTTCCCTCCATTTTCTCTAATCCCTCTGTGTTTTCTGTTCTCCCTATTCTCTCCACTCTTATTGGTCTTCCATTTCTCTATGTTCTATCTACTCCTTCTGCTCCCTTTGATTTACAAAACCACATTTCAAAACAAAGAATTCTGTTCTAACTTTTCTCTCTGTTCTTTGTGCTCTTTCTGATGTCTTCTCTTCTCCCTTTTCCTTCTATTTCTTCTGTTCTTTTTAGTCCTTTTATTTCCTCTGCTCTCTCTTCTCACTGTGTATCCCCGATTTAGAAAACTACATTCAAAAAAGACTTTATTTTGAAAACATTCGGTGATTTCGAACCTATGCTTCTTCTAATGCCTCTGTTCTTTCTATTATCTCTACTCCTTCTCTTCTTACCATTTCCTGTTTTCCTATTCCTTATCTTTTCTCTGCTATTTTTGCTACCTCTGGTCTCCCTGTTATCCCTATTTTCAGTGCTCTGTCTTCTTCGTTGTTCCCTCTGTTCAGAAAATTGAACTTTATTTTGAAAAAAACTCGGTAATCTAGAACACTTCCTGTTCTTTGCGTTTTCTTTGTTCTATATTTTCCTTTTAACCTCTGTGTTCCTTCTGGTCTCTCTGTTTGTTCTCTTAATTATCTTCTTCCTATTCCCTCTGTTCTTTCTGTTCCCTCTATTTTCTCTAGTCCCTCTGTTTTTTCTGCTCTCCGTATTCTCTCCGCTCTCCCTGTTCGTTGTTCTCTCTCTGTTCTCTCTGTTGCTTATGTTCCCTCTGATCTCTCCATTCCCTCTGTTTCTTCTGTTTCCTCTGTTCCTTCTATTCCTTCTGTTCCCTCTGTTCACGCTGGTCTCTCTATTCTCACTATTGTCTTTGTTCTCTTTCCTCTCTCTGATCGCTCTGTTCTCTCTGTTATCTCGGTTCTACCTACTCCTTCTGTTCTTTCTGCTCTCTCTGTTGTCTTTGTTACCCCCATTCTTTCTTTCCTCTCTGTTTTCTGTTCGCTATTGTCCTTCTGCTTCCTCTGCATTACAAAACCATATTCGAAGAGGACTTTATTTTGAAAGAATTTAGAACAGAATTCTTTCAAAAGGCCCTATTCCTTCTATTCTTTTTGGCCCTTCTGTTTCTTCTGCTCTTAAAAAAATTCTGTGATTTAGAACCTATGCTTCTCCTGATGCCTCTGTTCTTTCTGCTCTCTCTACACCTTCTCTTCTTACCATTTCCTGTTTTTCTATTCCTTCTCTTTTCTCTGCTATTTTTGCTGTCTCAGGTATCCCTTTTATTTATGTTTCCTCTGCTCTGTCTTCTCCGTTGTTGCCGCTATTCAGAAAATTGAACGTTATTTTGAAAAAACTCGATTATCTAGAACACTCTCTGTTCTGTATTTTCCTTCTAATCTCTGTGTTCCTCCCGGTCTCTCTTGTTTGTTCTCTTAATTATCTTCTTCCTACTCCCTCTGTTCTTTCTGTTCTCTCTATTTTCTCTAGTCCTTCTGTTTTTTCTGCTCTCCGTATTCTCTTCCCTCTCTCTGCTCTTACTTCTCTCTGTTGCTTGTGTTCCCTCTGATCTCTCTATTCCCTCTATTTTATATATTCTGTCAATTGTCTCTGTTCTCTTTCCTCTCTGATCGCTCTGTTCCCTCAGTTATCTCGGTTCTACCTACTCCTGTTCTTTCTGCTTTCTCTGCTGTTTCTGTTCCGCCCGTTCTTTCTTTTCTCTCTGTTTTCTGTTCGCTATTAAGAAAAGATGACAACATTTGAGAATGAAAAAAACAGTAGTAGAATTCTAAGCGAAAATAGGAAACTGTGATAAGATCTGGACTTTAAACCACGAACTAATGACACAGAGAGAACCGAATCAATGAAGAATTGATAACGTTAGAATTAATGATTCAAAAAAGGATTTCAATTGTATGGCTGCTAGATAAGGAAGAAAGAAGGCAATCAACAATGAGACAGAGATTGTAAAAAGACTCTTCGACAACGCTGTTAAACATTTTGTTGAAGAATTAGGCAATTAGCTCCAACATTTTATCTAAATGAATAGATGGCAGATTTTTTTGTGGATGTTTTTAAATTTAAAGGAAAAATGCAGTCCAGGAAAAGAACAAAAACTGTCATACAAATAACCGAAAACAAACCTTCGCAAGATAAAGAATAATACAAAAAGTCAGAACGCAGCTTCAGGATCCTCTGTTCAAAGCGTTCTAAGAAGAATTAACGATAGCAGAAAAGCTGCCTTATCTAAGTCTTATAATTCTGTGTGAAGAACGGTAAGAAGCCATTGGCGACAATAAGGAAAAATTGACAATTCCGCAAAGTTCAGTGAAAAAGAGACCGAATGAGTTTTCACACAATTTTACAGACGAGAAATTAAAGCTGGAACGCTCGGGACGTGGAAGGAAAGAGACAAGATTTAAAGAAGATGCTGTGATCGATCCAGCGGATAAGGCAAGAGCTTGCATGATAGAGGAATTAGTAAAATTTATTACATTTTTAGAATTTTGGCCATCGATACTTAAAAGAATCCATCCCTGTCCAGCGGAAATTCTTGTTTGACTCAAGATTAAAGAAATATCTTACAATTCAAACAAAAATCAAAGAAAATAATCTGAATAAGGCGAAAATTGCAAACAAAACTGTCTGCTTTATGATTGTGGTTAAAATTTTACAATATTTTGAAGTAGACATCTATAGGGAAATGTGCACAGCTGAACATTTGTTGCAGCGCTCAGACCCACAATTACTCACTTCGCCTCAACAGAGCCTACCCGTGATTCACGAAAAAATATTTCCGCGAATGCGGCTATTTTTAAAGAAAAATCCGTAGGCGCCCCTGGCCCAAACCTGCTGCTCCGCTCTTCTCGGCTCTGTCTGACGGAATAGATTTATCAAAAGCTTCGAGTACAGTAGTCACGGTGGCACGAGAGGCGCTAACCGAGACATTTGCCACAGACAGGTGGCCTCCCACGCAATATCGCATCCGTCTTCGTCGGCGTCCAGGGACGTATTGGGATGCATTGTGACAATCGCGTCGCGACGCAGAAGAAAGGAGCTTTTTAATTTACCGGTGAAATGGAACCGAGATGTTCGGGGATTTTTGTTCAAAGTGAGAGGAGCTTTTGTTGCATTTTCGATTGTTGTTCGCGGAGAGGAAAATTGGTGGCCGAATCGGGATTTGTACAACTGCACTGATTGTGGAGTGGAACAGATGCAAGCGATAGGCAATTAAAAGTTGTGTTTTTAATTTGAAATTTATTCGAGGTTTGGGAATCGGAGGATGGAATAATTGTGGTGCTCTATTCTTCCAAGCTATTAGCAACTAAATAATTGGGTTGGATTGAGCAAATTCGTTCAGTGCTTATAATATCCAGTTCTAATGAGAAATTAGGCTGAAATCCTTAAAAACGAGATTGGTCGATTCGAGTAATAAACATTTGATTAGAATGTAATCTTATTAAGCAGAAGAATAATTTGCTTTGTTATTAATTGTTGTCAAAGTTGCCACTAATGGAAAATGAAGTGTCCTAGCCCTTTGATGTTGGAATTCCCAAGACGCGATTTATTTGAGTTTTCTCGTAATAAAATTTCTTCAGCAACGTTAAACGTTAAAAAATTGTCCTAAAACGTAATGTGTGCCTTAGAGACTATTATCGTTATGTTTGTAGTGTGTTTGTTATTAGTTGTGTAACGATCAAACATTTTTCCTATCTACCGACCTAAGTAATAATTTGTCTTCCAAATAAAAATTACAGTTCATCCATATCTTGAAATTGATGAGGGTACTTTACTAACAAAAAATATTTACGTTTTGGTGGCCTTGGATAAATTAATTTTCATACTAATACTAGTAATACTACTAAAACTGAATGTCTGCATTCGTCGCCGTGTTGTAATTGCATTGTTTAAAGTTCTGTTTTACTAATCTCCAGACATATTTCATGGAACAAATGTATAGAGAAAATTGGAAAAGTTTAGATCGCAATTTAAATCCATCTTACGTTAAAAAAAATCACATCATGCTGAAACTGATCTCAATTCAGTTTCGACTCTCTTTCGTTGCGGTTACGAATTTGGCGTAGTCGGTGAGATAATACTATTATAGAAATATTATTTAAGTTCTAGAAAAAAATTTCTTAAAACTGTCAAAACTCAAACACTTCACATATTATAATTTACTGCAAGAGCGAGCAAAGCAAGCTAAAAGTTGTGTATACAAAGCACGTGAGACGAGCGCAGCTCATATCTAATTTGATTGAGTGAAATAGTTTAGAATCCCTCGAATATATTATTACGAAAAATCCTCACCGAACAAAAGCATATAGGAATGTCTGAGGGTGCTATGGAAACGACAAAGTCAGGTAAGTTCAGGAAATGGAAATTCGTGAATGTTCACGTACCTTCAGCAAACGGAATTTAAATAAATAGCGTGGGTTAAGTGTTGTGTTTACAAGCAAAGCTTGCTAAGACTCAGGAGTTTGTGTTAAAAAGGAAAATATTACCTAAAATTCTATAATATTTGAGCTGGAAGATGACATTCTAGAAGAATTTGTTTGGGGGCGAAAAGACGCATCTGAAAAAATTTGAGAAAGATTCTAAGCCAAGAGAGGAAGTTAACCTAGTTAAAGAATCAAACTCTAGAACATTCTTTTTGACAAAAAAACTACCCTCATAATACTGAACAATTTCACTATCAAAATAAAAGCTCTGTAACGATATAAATTTTCGTGAGGCGGAAACAGTGATAAGGGTACCGGCGCGACAGCGGAAACCGGCCACTGAGTTCTCAACTAGCAAAGCCAGAGGATGAAAGGAAGAGGGCGTTTTTGGAAACCTATTTCCTTTTCAGCGACGCCGCCTCCTCAGGATCCGCAGAAGTTCCGTTTAACCAGAAGCCGCTGCCAGGTACGCCAGGGAGGCCGTAGGACGTCTTTGATCGAATTCTATTTCTATTGTTCCAGTTTGACCGGTTCCATACCTTTTTAAAGTAAAAGTTTATTCTTAGACCCATTGCAGTAAAATAGAGTCCCCCAAATAATGAACATTTCAAGTTATAACGCAGTAACTATATAATTATTAAACGTATTATTAACAGCAGTGCTAATTAACTGCTACTGGCCACAGTAATAAGAAATTTAAATATACATGTATTTAAAGATACTTTAAAACGTTTGTTGGTTAAAAGAATGCATTTTATTCGTATGAAGAATATTTGTCTTTTAAATTCAAGTGATGTCATTGTGTGTGTACTTGTAATATTATATGTGAATATGTATATATTTTTTTTGACCTGTGCAAAACAAATTGTTGTTGTAGCATTAATAAACGTAATTATTTATTTATTATTTATTTATTAGCATTATAGTCCTGAGCAGTTTATGGGGGCTTCTAATATGCAATTTTGGAAACAAAATGTCAACGTTCACTAGTTGGCAGACTCTACTTTACCAGTGTTTTAAAGTAATTTGTTGCGTATTTTCTAAGATAAGTTTTATTTTACATTTAAAATTTTTTTAAGAGTAAATTTCAAGTGAGATAAATTTGCTCCACAAAATTTTAAAATTTCGTCACTATTTTTATGCAGACGATGAGTAAATACTCTTTTCTTGATGTACTAAAATTTAGATAGATTTTTAGATAAATTTTAAATTTTCGTTTTGCTGACATTTTTTTTGAAAACCCCATTCATTAAAATAAAATAAAGGTGAATTATTTAACAACAAACAGAATGGCGTCTGTTAAAGTGCATTAATAAAGTTTCGTGATGATATTTTCTTAGGTACGTTTACTTTTAAATTTTCTTGACGTTTCATGAATCTTTTCATAGTTAATGTTATTTAAACTTCATAAAAGAATACCTATATATCTATGATCTATGAATCCGCCTTTATTTTTCACCTAATTGGGGCTCCATAGTCTTGTCTTTTTTTTAATGCGAGATAATCTCGAGAACTCCTAGTGTCTTTTTTTGGTGGAATTGAAAAGAATCTTGAGCCCACTTATTGTTTTGTTTTTGAAATGATAAAAG